ATATATATATATATATATATATATATATATATATATAATATTCATCTTACTACGATGGATGCCTCAATTGCTATACCAGTACTCTAACAAGGGCAACGTTAGTTTGGGGTTTGAATGAGTAGACAAGAAACATCACCATCTCAATGCATTGTAAAACAAAATACAAAGCAAAGGGAAGACGAGAAAGACCTACACATGATGCCATAATGGCAAACGCGTAAAACATATAAAATCTAAAAATATGCAACAGGCCGTTTGACAGACAAGAGCATATAAACTTAATTAAAAACTTGGCGAAGCCTAAATTTGAAGATGAATAAGTAGGCTTCGGAATTAAATGGCAGCGGCACAGTGCAGTCAACGCACGTATAAACATAGTTATGATCACGAGTTCTAATATTACAAAGGCTGTGCACAATGCGAAGGACGCAAAAGACCCTGATCTTACCTGGTCCTCATACGAGTAGCGACAAGGTGCAATAAAAATGACAAGCATGCAACACCCCAGCGCACAGAAGGTATAAAGTGCGAAAGATAGGTTAGACCTTCGCGCTTCGCTTTTGTGGTTACTATTATGATGAGTTATTGCTGATAACAAGTCCATGATTATAACCGCTTCGAATGGTTTCCCCTAAAAAAAAAAGAAAAGTTGTCAATGGATGCACGCTGTTTTTGATTCCTTTCCAGGAGAAGGACCTTAATTTACGTCTATGCAGTTTACTCTTGACGCAATCAGACGAGAATCGATACAACGCTGGGTATGAAAAAAATCCGAATAGATGTTGATCAGCAAAAATTTACAGTTCACTTCTAGATACCTATGATGTCCCCAATTATTGCTTAAATATTAAAATCTAAAAAAATGTACTATCACCTTTTGATAAAATACGGTCGATCTTTTGTTAATATCGGCACTAGTTCCACTTTTATATGGGACAATACATAATTCACTTCACATCTAATAGACACAAAAAAAAAGAATAAGAAAAAGTAATCATAATAAAAAATATCCATAAGGTAGGACAAATATATTTATGAAAATCTCTCTCAAATTTCTATGCCACAATACTAATACTATGTAAGATAGGAAGTGACCCTCTGCAAGAATCCTGTTCATGGAACTATATGCTCAGCAACGAAATCTCACAGAATAATTTTGTAATTGCTTCTAGCTAAGTTTAATCAGTATTGTTTTTTTTTCGTGTGTGTTCCTTCAATTAGATCCTCTACTAATGTGGGGTGCATTGCGTTAATACTTGATGAGGAGTGTGGAGAAGAATAGCTTGCCTCTTCATAACAATCATAATTCGTTGAGGCCGATACGACCGTGTAGTCCAGTACTAAGTACAGAAGGGTAATTATTAAAGAAATCACAACCCCCGGGCTCCCGATCGCATTTCTGTTCCTTGGACTGCCCTCCATACCCATCACCCAGCAACTTGGCAAAAAGAAACGGCTACACACACCTCGAACCCATCCTATCAGAGGAAAAATGTGGTCTCATTAATTCCCATTCACCACCGTGTAGAACGTCGACCTGCAGAAGTAGAAAATTACTTCGTTTCGGTGTTCCCCTTCAGAGCGACACCAGGCAAGTCAAAGATTGCTTGCTTTATCTGGTTCTGTACGCTGAGTAGCGGCATCCCTGAGGTTTTCAGGGGGCAAATCATGTGCTCCATCGAACGAAGCTTTTCTTGATAGACAAAAATTATGGAACGAGAATCCGAACCGAACCCGGCTTGCTTCGTATTTCCTCGGACAGATCCCACAATCGACAAAATTGTATCTTCCTTTATGGCAAGTCTAAGGAATTTAATAAAGTCATTCGTGCCGAAACAATAAAGGGTGTGAGACTCCTTCACAACCATAGAATCAGGGAAAAAATTCGTTACTAATGTATCGACCGTATTGTCTGGTTTGGGGGAGGATGGAGGTATCGTAGGGGGAGCAGTGAAAACGGGCGCTTGGGAATTGGGCTGCTCAGCAGTAGATGGGAGTCCACCAAGTGATGAAGGGAAGGCTGACCCATTGTAGCACTGTGTAATTAATGAAATTTTCAATGCGAGAGCGTTTGATTTCTGTATATCTAATGTAACTCCATGCACGATGCCACACAAGCGAACGCAGTTAACAAAAGATGAGTGTCTGACGAAGGTACGAAGGAACATAACGTAATGCGCAAAGGACGGTGGAAATGGGAAACAAACCACGCCGTTACCGATGCGGCACCTTCTATTAAATAATTTGTCAAGCCTTTTGCTTTGCTGTTCAAATCCATGTAGGGGGACGATAAAAAGTAGGAAAAAAAAGGTTTCATGCCAAGATAGCGATATAGTTTTTTGAATAATATAGTTTACAAAGAGATGAAACTTACAACTTGAAAGGTTCTGAAGTGCTGCAGTCCGTTACACTGTGAGTGAATGTCCTCGAGTCATAATGTGTCATGCGGTGGGCATGATATTAAAATTATGGATGACCGACAGGGGTCATTTAATTCCCTAACCAGATACATATCACACACACACACACACACACACCTCTTCCTCACCACCCATCATAATTTTTTTCAATTTTAGTGTTGGGAATAGTAAAAATTAAACACAAAAGGATAAGTAAATTCGTTAAGCCCTTGCATCACCAAAAAGAGAAGGAACATCTCCTACTTTTTTCAAGAGATACTACAATGAACTCCGACCAAGGTTCGTTCAGCTCCTTTGTAGACCCTATCAAGAACATTTTGTCCTTAATGTTCCTCTTTTCGGAAAACTTCACGAAGTTAGTCCAGAGCAATCGGGAAACAGACCAATTATTCCCTTTCGATTACGATACAATTTACTTCTCCTCTCCTTTATCACTACCGTCATCCCCACACCTTTAAGCGGTATCCCGCATTCTTTCAACTTTCAAGGTGCCCATTCGAGAAGGGTGATGCTAGAAATCCTACGGAAACGACTTGTAGCCCAAAGGCCATTGAATAGGCCGCCAACGTCAGAGAATCCGTGCACAGCCTAACATTGGGCCCGTACCTTTTTCGAAGATAAATGGAATATTCCAGAATTTCGCGGCATAACGAAGTCTCCTGCAGATGTTGGTTGAAGATAAAGTCCCATTCATCGCATGACAGCATGTTCAGGGGTGTCGACTTCGCAGCTGTTAGTCGCCCTCCCCCACATCCATCGTTGCTGCCAACCCCTTTCGAGGTTGAACCCAGCCGCGCCAGTGAGTCGACGGCGTAGGCCCGCTGCGGGTGGTGGGGATCCAGCAGGCGCAGTAGTGCGGTGTAAGGCTGCCACTCTGGCAGGGGATCGGCTGGAGCAGCTAGGTGATGATCCTCTCCCTGCGCGTCGAAAACGAAATCCGACTTAGCGCGTTGAATCAATTCAAGCATCCCCGCAGCGGCATTACGCATATCGCATAGCGACGCCGCGGTCTCGTTGCCTCCTCCGCGGGGGATCTCGGCACCTTCCCCCGGGCTGTCCAGATCCGCGTGTGAACCGGGGAGGGCGGCAGCCTCCAAAAGAAATCGCCGGACCGCGTTAGGTAGCCGCATCATGTTGTTGTTCGTGTGGAAAATCATGTCATACTT